GGATATTTTACCAAAAAAAAAAAGTATCAATTCACATATTTATGCACAAGTTACAGGTATGAATAATGAACATTGGTCACAAAGTGTAGGTTGAGTGCACATATCACATTTATGGGCAGAAGACACAAGTTATACAGTCATGTCAATACCAGACATGTCACATATTTATCATAAAGTCACATATAAGAGTCACAATTGATTATACTGTGGTCACATAAATATCTGATGAATGTGTCTTTCCTTTTACAGCACATGGACGTGTGTTTCTATTTTTTACGGCAATTCGTAGTAAGAAGTCCACTTGTTAGAGTGAGAGCTACCACAACAGATTCGTTGTTCCAGGCGAAGATCAAAAATTTGTTTGCCAATTTCATGAAAGACCCTAATGTGATAACGTCATATTCCTACATTGTTGAAGTTGCCACAGGTGATCGGATAGAATACAATCGTCCTTAGGCTGATGTGGATTATGTGTTGTTGCCAATTTTGCCCACAAATCGTGCTCACTGGATGCTTGAACATAAGCAAGCGTGTCTTATACATATTTCATTCCAACTACAAGACTTATTGGGATAAAATGATTAATACCGGGATTGAACCATTTGCAAGAATTATCCCCCATTTGATGCATAGCTTGGGAATCTGGGAAAGAAAGTTTGATGCTGCTGATCCTCTTGGGATGACGATCATGGTTGCTGATAACATACCGTATCAACAGAATGAGTATGTATGTGACTTAAATTTCTGTTGTTCGCTATTACTTTTACACCCTGATTTGTGGCGTGTTATTTTTTTCCAATTGTGTTCAGGCATGATTATGGCATCTTTGTTAGTAAGTACGCAGAATATATACTTCACAACGCCATGACGACTATGCCGATGTCATTCGATGCTGGCCAACCAAGGCTGGACATTGCTGCACATCTATTTAAACATAAAGAGATGAAGAAGGTGTAACGACACGGGTCCCACTTAACGGGCTATCCCGGCCGTTAAATCGACGACGTACTGTCCTCACTATACCAAAATGGGTCTTTTCAGCATGCTTTGTCCTCACTCGCACGCTCTCCGAGAAAACTTCCCGGGGGATCACCCATCATAGAATTGCTCCAAGTCAAGTACGCTTAACTGTAGAGTTTCTAACGATGAACTTCCGGAAAAGAAGGTGCATCTTGTTGGTATGAGTAGTACCTATCAAATCTTTTAAACTTTCCTGGTCTGGGTATTACAATCACCCCCCGTTAGACTTGCGACGTCCTCGTCGCGCTTGATCCATCTGAGGATCTGTTGCCAGGCGTTGGGATTCTAGAGGTGGCTCCTACGAGTTCAAGAGGTGGATCCCGTCCTATGGCGTAGNAAAAGAAGGTGCATCTTGTTGGTATAAGTAGTACCTATCAAATATTTTAAGATTTCCTAGTCTGGGTATTACAATCACCCCCCATTTGACTTGCGACGTCCTCGTCGCTCTTGATTAATCTGAGGATTCGTTGCCAGGCGTTGAGATTCTAGAGGTGGCTCCTACGGGTTCAAAAGGTGGCTCCCGCACTATGGCGTAGCACTTTGTCCCGCATAGCACTTAGTTCTCGATTTTCAGCTGGCAATCGGGCTCTGATACCATTTGTAACAACACGGGTCCCACTTAACGAGCTGTCTCGGTCGTTAAATCGACGACGTACTGTCCTCACTGTACCAACATGGGTCTTTTCAGCATACTTTGTCCTCACTCGCACGCTCTCCAAGAAA